AAAAAAAAAAAAAAAAGTATATGTATTAAAAAATAAAAATATAAAAAATGATTCGATTAAATAATGGTAGTCTGAAGTTTTCCAAAGAATCATCTTACAACCCCCCTCACATCCTCCATTCTATTTTATAAATTGTTCCTTAATTACTATTCTACTTGCTGGTTATCAGTAATTAGATTTCTTTTTTTCCTGTGATGGACTTTTGCTCTGTTACCTGGGCTGGAGTGCTGTGGTGTGATTTTTGGCTCACTGCAGCCTCAACCTCTCGGGTTCAAGCGATTCTCCTGTCTCAGCCTTCCAAGTAGCTGGGATTACAGGTGCCCGCAACCACACCCAGCTAATTTTTTTGTGATTTTAGTAGAGATGGGGTTTTACCACTTTCCCCTGGCTGGTCTTGAACCCCTGAGCTCAGGTGATCCATCCTCCTCAGCCTCCCAACGTGCTGGGATTACAGGCATGAGTGAGCCACCGTGTCCAGCCAGTGATCTCATTGTTAATGGAGACATTTTCTCACTCCTCAGTCTTCTTGACCTCCTCTGCAGCATTCTTTCCTTTAGAAATTCTTTGCCTTTGGGGTTCATTAATGCATACTATTCTCTTAACTGTTCCAGTCCTATCATTGCATTTCCATCCTACACAATCATCCCTTATCTCTATAAACCTAAATATAGGCGTTTTCAAAGCTCTGTCCTTAATTTTCTTCTTGCCCGTCTCCACAGAATCTATTATTTTAATTTTTACCTATATGTAAATATTTCTAAATGTAGTCTGACCTTTAGTTGTACTTTTCTAATATCCAGTCGGACATCACCACCTGATCTCCTGTCATCTTTTCAGAACCAACATGTAATTCTGTTAATGGTATTACAGTCATTTCAGTCATTTGCAATTTTACCATTAACTCTTGGATTTTCTCTCCCATGCTCTCACTACACATCTTTTTTTTGTTGTTGTTTTTGTTTTTTGGGAGATGGAGTCTCTCTCTGTCACCCAGGCTGGAGTGTAGTGGCGTGATCTTAGCTCACTGCAACTTCTGCTTCTTGGGCTCAGGCAATCCTCCCACCTCAGCCTCCTGAGGACTACAGGTCTGCACCACCATGCCTGGCTAATTTTTGTGTTTTTAGTAGAGATGCGGTTTTGCCATGTTGCTCAGGCTGGTCTTGAACTCCTGAGTTCAAGCAATCCACCTGCCTCAGACTCCCAAAGTGCTGTGATTACAGGTGTGAGCCAACATGCCCTGCCTTACACATCTTTTTAGTTCCCAGATTCTGTAAGTTTTTCCTATTTGGTGTCTAATTTATGGCTTCCTCTTCATCTCCTTTACTCTTTCCTTAATTCAGTTTTCATTGTGTCTTATTTGGACTGTACTAAGTTTCCTATCTAATCTCCAGGATTTCAGTCCTCTTCCTGCCCTCTATCAGTTTGTCTTATATAACACAGTAAGATTAATCTTCCTAAAGTACATGTTCGACCATATCTAAAATCCTTTCGTTTCTCTCTCTTTATTAACTTAGGAAATCTGTGTATGGAACCCTCTGAAAATCACTATGTGCTTTGATACCAGTATATCTTACCAGTATTATTTCTTACTACTTCCTTTCATACGTTAGCAAAATTGAATCCCTTATATTCTTTTGCTCCAATGCCTTTGTTTATACTCTTTTCTTCTACTTTAAATGCTCTTCTACTCTAACTCTATGTTTACATATTACCTATCTTTGACAATCCAGCTGAAAGAAAGGTTCTTCTTAGGGAAACCGGGAAGCCTTAGGAAGGCATCATTTGTCTAATCTTGAAAGATTAATAGAAATCGACAGGAGGCAGATAAGGAAATCATTCTAGTTGGAGGGACTGGCATGTACAAGAGGCATGAAAGAGGGAATCAGCTGGTAATGTTTGGAGTATCTTGAAGGTAGAATACATGTAATAGAGTGAGACTAGAAAAATAAGTTATGGTCAAATGTGTCATGGTAAGGGGTGTAGAATTCAGACTTGATCATCTAAGTAGGAAGAAAGAGATATTAATATGTTTTAAACAATGAAACCAAGTAAGATTTTAGTTTCAGAAATCCAACTCTGGCAGCAGTTTAAAGGATGATACTAAAGGTACTTAGAAGCAGTATCTGGGAATAAACCTAGTAGAGTATGTGTGTGCATGACCATTACAGAGAACATTGTAAACTTTTATTGAGAGATATTAAAGAAGACCCAAGTAAATAGAAATCGTAATCGTTGTTTAGAAACCACAATATTGTAAAGATGTAAATGTATCCCCAAGTTGATTTCAAGCTATGGTACAGTCCCAATCAAGATCAAACAGGTTGTGTCTGTGTATACCTTGAAGCTGAATCTGTAATTTATATAAACATGCATAGGATCAAGTAGATAACACACTTTAGAAGAAGAACAAGGTTGGAGAACTCTATCATATGTCTTGACTTTTAACACTAAATTAATCGGTAGATCTGTGGAACAGAACAAAGAGCCCCAGACAGATCTGTACATCTGTGGACACTTGATTTGTGAGCATCGTTCTGCAGAATAGGGAGGGAGTCAACTTTTCAAGAATGCTACTGGGACATTGGGTATACATTTGAACTCTTAAAAAGTAGCCACGCTTAAGTAGACTAGAGTCCTATATAGAAACCTGTAAAGATTTTAGAAGATTGCAGAGGTAAATCCATGTATTTATAGTCAACTAAATTTGACAGAGGTACCAAGAACATACATGGGGGAATGGATACCCTCTTTAATAAATAGTGCTGGGAAAACTGGATGTCTCTATGCAGAAGAATGAAACTAGACTACTATCAATCACATAATAAAAAAACCTCATAGTGGATTAAAGACTTAAATGTAAGACCTCAAACTATAAAACTACTAGATGAAAATGAGGGGAGGACTTTAGTCAAAAATCTTATGGCTGGCCGGGCGCGGTGGCTCACACCTGTAATCCAAGCACTTTGGAGGCTAAGTTGGGCGGATCACCTGAGGTTGGGAGTTCAAGACCAGCCTGACCAACATAGTGAAACCCCATCTTAAAAAAAAAAAAAAAAAAAAAAAAAAAATATATTATGGATAAAAATAAAAAAAAAAAAAAAAAAAACAAAAAAGACAAATGGGTCTATATTAAACTATTAGGTTGGTGCAAAAGTAATTGCAGTTTTTGCTTTTTTTTTTTTTCTTTTAAACAGCAAAACCTTACTTTTACACCAACCTAATAAAAAGCTTCTACACAGGAAAGGTAACAGTCAGCAGAGTGAAGAGACAACCTGTAGAATGGGAGGAAATATTTGGGGGTATTTCACCTGTATGTTTTGTAACTATTTAACCTGTACAATGGGAGAAAATATTTGCAAATACTGCAAAATCAATTAGAAGACAATCCAGTAGAAAAATGGACAGAAGAAAATAATTTCATCAGGCTGGGCAACATAAGTGAGACCCTATCCCTATAAAAAACAATAAAAAATTAGCTGGGAATTGTGGTGTGCATGTGTTGCTCTGGCTGTTCAAGAAGCTGAG